GACGATTCGTCCTTAGCCAACGACAGTTGAAGTTAAGGCAACTTGTGAACAAATCGATCCTACACTTTTAATGCTCATCATTCTTTGTANTCTCAAACGACAGTTTAGGGTGTTAGATTGATTGATGAAGTAGTTGATGCCACGACAGTGGATCCTCTTAATTTTATGGTTGAGTTCTAGATTGGTTCGTAATTGATAACCTGAATAATTGTTTGGTTCTTGATAATCTAATCCCTGAGATATTTTTCCTTGATCTAACTCTTTTAATATCATTTGTTTACACCGAATTTACTTTAATTGCTTGATTAATCGTGACAACTTAAACTACTTTGATCACTTAGCTGAATTTGTATCCCATAGGATTAGAGTGTATTGCTGGTCCCTTTGAACGAACCTACCTATTCTACATCGGATTAGTGATTCTAGGTTTGACTCATAAACCGGACAAAAGTCCTTTCATCATACGGTGATGTACTTCTGCACTTCATATTGGTAACGCACAAGATATATAAATATATACAAGCAAACAAACATCAAAGATGATTATTCTTCTATGTTCATAGTGTAATTATCGCATATAAGAAAGAAAATTTGACGTCAATTAGAGAAAGACGAAACATGATATCAATATATGATTAAATAAATTAAACTTTTAATAATTAATTTCTGTTTGATTTGGCTTGGGTAAACTAAACCGATCGGATAACCAAAAGAAATATCATTTATTTATTAGCCTATTCGCCCAAGCGGCTGCAGTAACTCAACCAAAAGAACCGCGATTAAGCTTAAATCTTCACCTGACTATAATTTGTCTAGTTAACAAATCTAATCACGATTTTAACTCTTGGGTTAAATATTGATTGTCCTTGTTTTAGTTGTTAAACAGTTGTGAAGATATTAAAAAGGGTATAAGGTGCTGTTCGTTTGTGTTTCTAGACGCGACATCCAGACGCAACATGTAGACGCAGCATCCAGATGATGTTTGTTTGTGTGTTTGGTTAATGCGTCCAAAAAATATAGCTAGATGCAGTTATGTTCGTTTGGTGTTTAAATCTTTGTATCTAGACGCGTTTGATATAAAATGACCAAAAACTCTGTGTTTTGTGTTAATACTATTATTTATGATTTAAATTAAAAAATAATGAAAGAATTACCAAATTAATTTTAATATACTTCTAATCAATGTTATCACACAAAATAATTAAATTTAAGAAATGAAATCATTTTCATAACTTAATAGTCCACTATAAATAATATTTTTGAATTTTAAAATATTCTCCTTAACCAAAACATCTAAACAATTGATGAAAGACTTTTCATTATATGACAAAACATCTAACACAAATCAACATCGACCAATATAATGGATTAAAATACAATATCAATTCTAATTGTCTATGAAATTCTTAAGATTTTGTTGATCAATTATA